TATCCCGCGGAGCCTGCTACAATTGTGGAAAGTTCGGGCATTTCAAACCCAATTACCCACAAGGTGAAAAGCAGGAGAATAAAGGAGGCTATAAGCATCCAGAACAAGGGGGTACTAGCAAAAGAGAATTCGTCGGTGTGACGGAATGTAATGCTGTGATGACGGATATCAGTGGTTGGTGGATCGACTCCGGTGCGACTAGGCATATCGCAAAGGACAAGAATAGAGTCGTAGAATTCACCGAGCTGAAGAAGGGAGAACAGAGAATCTATATGGGAAATAATACCTATCTCGATGTAGAAGGTATTGGTTCGTATAGATTGGATCTTGGGGACAGCATTCTTGTCCTCAAAGATGTGTTCTATACGCCAGGAATTAGACGCAATCTGATCTTTGTTCCCAGCTTGATGAAGAAAGGACTGGAAGTGAGGTTCTATAATAACAGGGTTTCTATAGGCAAGAATAATAAAGTGTATGCTATGGGTAAATATGTGCCCGAGCATGAATTATGCATTCTTCCAGTAGTTTGTAATAATTCTGATAATAAAATTTCGAATTTGAACTACTTGTCTTGTTATATTTCCGAATCTGAATTGTGGCATTCTAGACTAGGACATGCCAGTATTTCAAAAATGAAAAAAATTATCAGAATGAACTTGCTTCCTGTACTATCTAATGTTCAATTGCCACTATGTGAACATTGTTTAACTGGTAAAATGACTAAAAAACCTTTTATTGGCGGACACAGAGCCAATGAACTTCTAGGGTCGATACACTCGGATATTTGTGGTCCCCTAAGTGTCAAAACTCATAGTAATAAAGAATATTTTATTACTTTTATAGATGATTATTCCAAGTTTGCACACGTCTATCTTATATCCAGAAAATTAGAAGCTTTTGAGTGCTTTAAGAGATATAAGACAGAAGTTGAAAACCAACTTGGATTGAAAATCAAAATTTTGAGAACTGATAGAGGTGGAGAATATAATTCTAAAGAATTTGAAAGTTATTGTATTCAGCATGGAATTAAAAGACATACAACAATGCCGTATACGCCATAACAGAATGGTGTTGCTGAAAGAAAAAACAGAACATTATTAAATGTAGTTAGATGCATGTTGTCTCATTCTGGTCTCTCTAAAAACTTTTGGGGAGAAGCATTGTTAACTGCAAACTATATTTTAAATAGAATTCCCACCAAATCAGTTGTATCTACACCTTATGAATTATGGAATGGGAGGAAACCTAATTTGAGTCATCTCAGGAAGTGGGGATCTATAGCCCATGTTCTCATTCCATGTCAACTTAGAGATAAGTTGGATTTTAAAACAATAAAGTGTAGATTCATAGGGTATTCAGAAAAGTCAAAAGGTTATAAGTTCTATAATAAAGAAAAAGGAGTCATTGAAAGCAGAGATGCTACATTTCTAGAGAATCTAAAGGAAGAGGAACAAGTTCAAGAGGAAACAGAACCTCTAACTGTAATAGATGATGATTATTACAGTATTGCTCCCACTAATGACTCTGATATTATGAATGAACCTAACCTTAAAAATGATGAAATACCTATGAAAAATAATGTACCTAATCAACTGGTTGTAGGCAACAAAAGGCCAAGAACACAACCTTCATGGATTGATGATTACTATTTGTATTCATGTGAGTCATCCTGTTTCTCGATAGATACAAATGTAGAAGAACAAGATCCCTTAACCTTTTCTGATGTGATGAAATCGCATGAATCAGCTTTATGGCTAGAATCTATGAGAGAAGAACTTGATTCCATAGAAAAGAATAAGGTATGAGAGTTATGTGATCTACCAGAAAATAGAAAAACCATAGGATGCAAATGGGTGCTCAAAAAGAAATATCGTGTTGATGGATCTATTGATAAATTCAAAGCACGGTTAGTTGCCAAAGGTTATAACCAGAAGGCAAAAATAGATTTTCAGGAGACGTATTCTCCTGTAGCTAAATTTACATCCATTAGAATTATTTTGACTATTGTTGCATATTTTAATTTGGAGTTATTCCAAATAGATGTTAAAACTGCATTTCTTAACGGAGAGTTGAAGAAAGCAATATATATGCAACAACCTGAAGGTTTTCAGGTGAAAGAACAAGAACATAAAGTTTATAAATTAATGAAATCTCTATATGGTTTAAAACAGTCTTCTAGACAATGGTATCTCAAATTTCATGATGCAGTTACTAAACTTGGTTTTATTCAAAATAAATTAGATAATTGTGTATATGTCTTGAAAAGTGGGAGCAAGTTTACTATATTATTATTATATGTGGATGATATATTGCTCGCTGAAAATGACATAGAAATGTTGAATAAAACCAAGGCAGATCTCAGCGAGAAGTTTGAGATGAAAGACATGGGAAATGCATCATATATTCTTGGAATTCAAAAAATTCGAGATAGAAAGCCTAGAATGCTAAGTTTAAACCAAGAAAAATATTTAAGATCATTTCTTAAAAGGTTTGGAATGGAAAATTCCAATCCGACACCAACTCCGTTGGTTATGGGAAAGAGATTATGTAAAGAGCAAAGCTCTGGAGAGGGGCAGAAACCATTAGATGTTCCTTATGCTCAAACAATTGAAAACTTGATGTATGCAATGTTGTGCACTAGACCTGATATAGCTTATGCTGTGAGTCTAGTCAGTAGATATCAAAGTAATCCAGGATCAGCACATTGGGAAGCTGTTAAAAGGATTATGAAGTATATCAGATGTACATTGACTCATAGATTAGTTTTTAAAAGGATTATGAAGTATATCAGATGTACATTGACTCATAGATTAGTTTATCAAGCTGATTCGCTTGAACTCCTCGGTTATTCCGATGCTGATTTCGGAGGTGATAAAGATGATGGAAAGTCCACTTCGGGACACTTATTTATCTTTGGAGGAGCTGTTTCTTGGAACAGCAAGAAACAAGGGTGTGTTGCTAGATATACGCAAGAAGCTGAATATATAACTTGTAGTATGGCTACTACACATGCTGTCTGGATAAGACGGTTTTTGATTGATCTTGATCTCAATTTGTTAGAAGGACATATTGATATTTATTATGATAATCAAGCAGCAATTAGCTTAATCAATAGTGGTGTGAATAGCTCCAAAGGAAAATATATTGAGATCCAGTATCACTATATTCGAGATATTGTAAAAAAGGGAGAAGTCAAAGTGACTTATATCCCTACTACAGATATGATTGATGATCCTTTGACAAAAGGAATACCAACGGAATCTTTTATCAAACATGTAAGTTTGATGGGACTTAGGAATAAATAAGTCCAAGTAAAATTTCATGAATAATGAAATAAGAGTTACTCTCTACGGATAGTGGGAGTAATGGTAAGCAGAAACATCTGATCTCACGGATAGTGGGAGGCATATCACTTGGTTGATTTGGTCAAGTGGGAGATGTTAGCTTGACCTGGTCTAAGATGACCAAATCAACGTTCGTTTGAGAAGAACGTGGAGAAAAATTGGGTTTGTTGAGAGAATATCTCTCAGGAGCGGTTATGAGGGGGTGGAGATAATGGGTTTTGGCTCCTATATAAAGAGGAGTAATCTCCTTGAGAAAAATGCAACACATAAACAAAATCAAACCCTTACCCATTACCGGAGCCCCTCAAAATCTGTTCTTTTTCTTTGATTTCGATCACTGAATGAAGGGGAGAAAGATTCAAACGGACGCCTAATGTAATGGAACTCGGAATGAAGAAACCATTAATGAAATTTTAAAAACAGCAGTAAAGATTATTTTAATAAATTATTGAATAAAAGAAAGAGAAGAAATTTTTATATTATCATTGATTATGAAGAAGAGGTGGTATTCCATACTTGTACACCTTCAAAAGTTCCAATAGGAAAACTTTAATAAGAAAATGCAACATATAATAAAGAAAAATCCTAAGCAAAAAAGATGTTATATTTCACCTAATACGTCAAATCTGGTCATGTTTATTAAAAGCTGGAGCGTAAAGATTAGCAAAGCCCAGCTTGTGTCAAAAAGAGTGGAATAATATGCCTCTTGTGGTATCTTGGTCATATCAATATAAAAGTGAGACTGAAACGAACTCAGTGATATCAACAAAACCTTAGATATGAGAATAACACCAATAAAAGGAAGCTTCGCAAGTGATGTCAAGATAAAAAATACTTTGTGAGCAACGAGTAAAAGAGGTTCCGCAAAGTGACATCGAGAAAAAGAAGCTTTTCAAATGGGATAAAGAATGAGATATGCAACAGTACAAAGTCAATGTTATTCAAGAGAATACTGAAATCTTAGGAGGCCCAACAGGAATACAAATTCGCCAAAAACCGAGATTTTGAAGGACAGGGATATGGTGACAAACAAGAGGGGTCAATTGACGTAGACCAACATGGAGTAAGATCAAAACAAAATTGATGATAGCGGCGAGTGGGTAGTGGTCGTTAATGCCGAATTGAGGTTGAAGCCGCCAAGATTAGTGGCGTTGAAGCCGCCAAGATTAGTGACGTTGAAGCCGCCAAGGGGAAGCACAAAGATGATGTTTGCAGCAAACCCCTTTTAGCCCCGAGAATAAAGGACATAAAGGTTTCAAGAATGCAAAGACTTGCTCCGATACCATGTTTAAATCAAAAAAAGAGAGGAATTCTTCTATATTATCAATGATTGTGAAGAACATGCAAAACTCCATACTTATACACCTTGGAAAAGTTGTAAATTAAAAACTCTAACTAGAAAATGAAATATATAATAAGGGAAAGTCTTAAACGAAAAGATATTATATTTAACTAATACATTGAATTTGGCCACGTTCATTAAAGCCAACAAATAATATGACATCTTCCCAAAGAAAGACTTGTATATAGCCTAGCACCATAAAGTTGTTGTGGTGGTCTGAATAACACAGACACTATTTTAGAGAAATGTGGAAAATTTATAACTGTGGTATGAGGAATTAGTATTGCCAAAACATATCAACAGATATATATTACCTGCAGGCACTAGTAAAAATGATCCATCTGGTGACCATTGCAATCTCCGAAAGAAGGATGGCAGAGTTTCATCATGAAATAAATGTGTTTTAGCTGATGAAGGCTGAAAAAGAAAGGAAAAAAATTAGTCCTCTAATTCTTGATGAGAAAAGTTACATAAAAGTCTGCACAACCTTGGGATTGTCAAGTGTTTGCAGCAGCTCTGCTTTTGTAAGTACATGTTGACAAACATAATTAATTTTCTCATGGCCCTTATGCCTAGGCTGAGGTTTGTTTGCATAGACTCGGCATGTTCTATCGGAACTAAGGGAAGCAACATAGTGACCCAAAGGATCCCAAGTAACACCTTGAACATAATGTAGATGAGCATCGAGAATCTGATGGACTGAACCTAAAGCATCACAAAAAAGACAGTATAATTAGCTGCAACATTCAGTTTAACAAACCTAAAAGCATTAACAGTTTAAATACCTTTATTAACATCCCAAATTATACAAGAATTATCAACTGAACCAGAAATAAGATATGCACCATCAGCAGACCACTGAAGATCAAGAACATCCTTGCGGTGAAATCTGACAGAAAAATTGATATAAGCAAATTACAACAACAGTCCATACAGAATACAATTCATGGCAGTTGAAAAACTTACATAAATGTTTTCAGAAATTTCCAACTTTTGGCATCATCTGTGACATGAAATTTCCATAAGACTAGTTCACCTCCTGAAATTTAGAAATGTTACTATCATGGTGCATTGTAAAAAAAACAACAAAACAAGATAGAAAGTCAAATTTGGCTAATGGCTTTAGGGGAAATTTCGCCAGACAGGATCCTCATCAGATTCAATTGCTACAACTTCTACTAGAAATTTAGAATTGGGAAAAAAAAAAGATGACAAAGAAGGAAACCTCTGCTAAGAAAATAAACATCAACATAATGATGATGGCGATCGATCAACTGAACAAACTGAAAAGCATCAACATATTATCACTCATCTTAAGCTGATTCCCAATAGAATGGGTTCAGCTATGGATCTCAAGATTCCATGAACAAATTGATGTTCATATGATTGGCTGTCATCCAGATGTCTATCCTCTGAGTAGGTGAAATGTGCTAAGTCCTTTCAAAGAAATCAGGGATGAGAGAGGGATATGGCCTAAGCCCTAGATAACAACATGATAAATAAGGAGTATAAAAGGGAAGAAAAGGCATACCATCAGCACCAGATGCAAGAAGTTCCCCTACAAAAAAGTTTAACAAGAGTTACTCAAGAAAGAAGCAAACAATACATAAAAGTAGACTTCAGAACTAGTAATGGAAATGAGTTAAAGATAGGTAGCTAATGAAGTGCAGTGGCAATGATGTATGAGTTTCTCTAGACACTACAGCTCCAACATACAGCTCATGTTGTGCTCAACAATATCTAAGAAAACATGACATTACCACAATTGAAAAGCTAGCTACAATTCCAATTGTTACACAAAAAAAAGACCATTTACTTTACATGCACTCAAGGGAATGGAAAATGAAATTGAATCCTTGCTAAAGACTATTGCACCACCATACGGTAGTGACATCAGTCTAGCAATATTAAGAAAAAATATTACCACAATGACGAATAAATTCTTAATATCACTGAATCAAAAAAGGCCATTCAATCTAAAAGCACCAATAGATGAGAGAATAAAATTTAAACGTCAGTGATGGATCGCAGCGTTCAAAATCACAAACTCTAGTTACTATAACCGTTCATTATAAATATAAGATATGACAATTATGCACACCCAGAAGCAAATTGTTGGCAGTACATCCTATCAACATGTTGTACATAATTATAGGGCCAAATTATGAAAGAACGCCATGAACATTTACATATTTGTAAACTACCGTAGGCCTATAAGTACTAGGCTTTTTTTATATATACAAAGAACCAGCATGATTTATTTAATATTATTTGTAGATCTATAATAAGGTTTGGTTTGGCTAAGTCTTAAAAACATCGAAAATAAGATTAAAAGGGTTAAAATCTTCTTACCAGAAGGAGAGAATCGCAAGACATTTACAGCAGAACTGTGGTACACCAGACTGCTTTGGTAGGAAGCTGCTGGAAGTTTCTTTTGTGATTCACCTGAAGTTATCACCCACAACTGTAATACAGTGGAATATAAGCCATGAGAAATATTCATTGAGATGTAAGCCATGAGAAATATTTAACAAAATGATGAAAGAAACAGTAGTCATATTCAAAAGAGAGAAAGCTAGAGATGGTTGGGAGATGAGATTACGATTTGATAGATTGATTGTAATCTTCTTTGATTATTACTGGAATTATGACTGGTTATATTCTGCGGTCAAAGGTGGCACTGATCGCCAAAACTCTTTAAATCTCTATGTTTCTGTGGCTGTTTTATCTGTTTTTCGTTCCTTCTTCTGTGGATTTGTGGTTACGTTTCCACTGTGTTGCTAACACCCAAAATAAACCAAAACCTAAAATAGTTTGTTCATTAGTTTCTTAATAATCATCTGAACATATAGTAAGAACTCCAAAGTAGAAAAAGACTGCATACATCTGACTGCTATCTTGCTGCCAAAAGCTTATAATTCAGCAATCATGACAGAAACACATAATGAACCTACAGCTGTTGTACAAAATAACAATAATAATAGTAATGCAATGTATATACTATAACTTGCGAGCTTTCTATGGTTCTGACTTGTTATCGTAAAGTCAGAGGTAGGTACAAAAAATGTTCCCGAGGGACTCCTTTTGTAAGTAGGAAGCAGAGAATTCCATGATTTTCTGCTGCAGATGTGAGCTGGTTATCAGTTGGAAATAGCAATCAAATTCATTTTCTGCTCATTAACTGAGTATATTACCAATTTATACAGAAACCCAAGTATTTGAACTGATCAAAATCCAACTGATTAAATCAATGAACAAGCTAATTATCCAGAAGTAACACTAACCAGTCTAATTTCTACACAAAAATTGGGTAATTCTTCTTTCCAGAGCCAAACCACTGAGAGATTGGAGAATTATTTATTTTAACCTCAGACAATATTTCCTGTGATGAAATTATAACAGAAAACATAATACCCATATAAAATTGATCTCAAATATAGTCCAAATCCTATCATTTTACAACCAATTAAAGATAAAATCACGGGAGATCCAATCATTTCGAGAACCCATCCACTAAAAGCAACAAAGATCCAATCTTTTAAGGGCAAAACATGAAATTTGAAATGATTTGAAATGATTGATACCTTGATGTCATGATCGTTGCCGCCGGTGGCTAGAAGTCCAGTTGGGGAGTGGAAATCTAGGGTTAGGACGGGCTGGCAATCGTGCCAATTAATCTGGACTGTTCCTCCCTTCATCCTACGGTAGAAATTCCGGTTGTTTCCCCCTCTTTGTTTGATTGCTCCTGTGAAGATTCGCGTTAGTGGGAGAGAGGAGATTAGGGTTTTGGGTAATTTTTGGGGGGAAAGTGAAGGTTTTGATGGCGGGAAACTGAGAGGAATGAGGAAGGACTTAACGAGCTTTAGGCATGTGAGATGCGCGTGCCGAAAAATATGTATGCAAACAAAGGATTTTTGTTAGGGCTGTTTGGTTCATTTCCTAAAAAAATAAATGGAAAAGCAGCATGCATTTCTTAGAAAATCAAGTTCATCATTTAGGCGTTGTTTGGTTGGTTTCCTAAAAATCAAGAAAAGAAAAAGTGTACATAGAAATCAATAAAATATTATTTTCATCCATTTTCATCCCTAAAACTCACCACAACATCCAATAAAATATTATTTTCATCCCACAACTCATCCCTTATCATCTTCTAAGGGGCTGTTTGTTTGCCTAAAAAAAGAGGGAAATCAAAGAAAATGAAACATATTTCTAAGAAAAATAGGTTTTGGGATTGTTTGATTGGCTAAAAAAAGAAGGAAATCAAAGAAATGGAGATGAGATGAGATGAGTTGTTACCTTATTATAGGATGATGTGAGTAATTTTTTAAGAAAACTTGTTTTGATATTGTTTGGTTGGCGGAAAAAATAAGAAAATGAATTATAAGAAACATATTTCTTGTAATAGGTTGTTTTCTTTTGTTTGGTTATTTCTTAAAAATAAGAAAATAGATGAGATGAGATGAGTTGTCATTATATTATTGGATGATGTGACTCACACTTAAGGAAATTATTTTCCTAGCTTTTTGGAAGGAAAACAAAGAAATAAAATATTAATGAGATGAGATGAGTTGTCACAATCTTATTGGATGATGTGAGTGATTTTTAAATATGAGATGAGTTGAGTTGAGTGATGTTGTGGATGAAAATAATATTTTACTAGATGTGGTGGATGTGATGGATGAGTTGTTAGATGAAAATAATATTTTATTAGATGTGGTGGATGAGTTGTTGGATAAAAATAATATTTTATTAGATATTGTGGGTGAGTTTTAGGGATGAAAATGTGTGAAATTATACTTTTTGAGATTTCTTGGTTTTTATTTCTATTTTTTGGTTTTTTAGGAAATAACCAAACGGGCCATAAAAATAAACCAAACACAAGAAATGGGTCGCATCATTCATCCCATCTCATCTACATCACATGTCATTTTAAAAATCACTCACATCATCCAATAATACGGTGACAACTCATCTCATCTCATTAACATTTTATTTCCACCTATTTCCTCCAAAAAACTAGGAAATCGATTTCCTTAAGTGTGGGTCACATCATCCAATAATATAATGACAACTCATCTCATCTTATCTATTTTCTTTATGAATGAACCAAACACAAGAAAAGAACCTATTACAGGGAATATGTTTCTTATAATTTATTTTCTTATTTTTTTAGTCAACCAAACAACCTTAAAACAAATTTTCTTAAAAAATCACTCACATCATCCAATAATAATGTGACAACTCATATCCCATTCTTTGATTTCCTTCTTTTTTTAGCCAACCAATTAATTTTAAAATAATTTTTCTTAGAAATAGATTTCCTATTCTTTGATTTCCCTCTTTTTTTAGGCAAACAAACAACCCCTTATTTGAAATTGATGTGAGGAAAGGAGAGAGAGCACGTGGAAAAGCTAAATTCTAATTTGTTTCACACTAAAAGAGCATGAAGTGTGAGAGTGAAAAGGAGAAAGAGAGTAGATAAGAAAGGTGAGGTGGCTCAATAATTAATAAGGTTGTGTTAGTTAATAAGATTGTGTTAGTTTTCTAGCTAACTCCTCTCAAAAAGTTAAAAATTGACTTTTTCTTAGGATTAGGTGTTGTTAGGTGCACCCATTTTTTAAACAAAAGGGCTAACAACTCCCTAGTCTGTAAGCTCATGTATCTGCAAGTGACACATTGTTTTTTATGAACTCTATATTGCTTCGGCAAGGATCAATCACATTCTCCGCTAATGAAAAAAATCTACCACAACTCTGTAATTGCCGAATAACAAAAAAAAACAGCCAATAGTGACTAAAATACAGAACTGAAGAACCACTTTATCAAGTACGTAGTCTGCAATCTCATGTATCTGCAGGTGAAACAAAATCACTCAACCATGACACAAGGGCCTAGTCCTAGTGACTATGAAGCATACTGCAACACATTCAACAGAAAAAATAAGAACTGACTTTGTTACCAGCACATAATTAAAGCGATATAATCTGATAGAAAAAATCAACAAGCAAAGGATCATTGTATATCAGGTTGCGGGATGTGATCTCTCTCAGCTATTGAGAATGAACCTTCAAGTTTGCTGCAACTTGAAAACAATCGAGCTAAGTATTTGGTGAACTACAATTGATGGAAGTCCCTCAACGACGGACAGATTCTCCACGTTGCTCTTCCTCAAGGAAACATACCTTCTTCCCAAAAATTAGGACCTAAAGATCTTGAATTTTCATGTGAATATCGGTTTTGTGCAGAAAAGAAACCAACTTAATATGAATGATCAATAAGCCCCCTATGAATGACACTCACCCTATCCCCCGCCCCAAACCTCTCTTCTTTCAAGGAAGTGTACCTTTCTCCCAAATAGGACTTAAAGATAATGAATATTGGTTTTGTGCAGAAAAAACCAACTTAAATATGAACAAGCATGATCTATAAGCTCCAACTCGGCCATTATAATGAAAGAACATCAGTTACCATAGTCTAAAACTTTATTTCTTGGACTATCCTTTTGTGTCCAATAAAATTCACTGTTCTTCCCTCTCTTCGAATGTAGCAAAGAATGATTTGCGCGGCAAATAAAGTGATGCCTCAGCATAAAATGTATGCTAAGGTTCTGCACCTGCACCTGTATCAGTCCCTGCCTTTCTATATTCAGAGGACACGTCATACTAGTAAGCAAAATTAAGATCTTCATTAATGTACTACTCGCCCTCACTCGGTACATCGTTATTACTGAGTTCATTTTGGCTCATTACATTCAGATCTAGCTCCCACGGACACTCTTCCTAGGGCTCGGGCTCGATGTCCGCTTCGTTGCCACTGTCGGTAACTTCCTTTGGCTACTCTAGCTCCTGGGAGTCTAGATAAAAGACTGAGTCGGTATGAAAATTCTCCACACCTCTGAAAGGTTACTTTTCTAGGATCAGGGTTTTGACTTCTCCCTCTTCATCAACATATTTCATTACCTGATGAAGGGTAGACAGGACGATGTGATTCACATAAATCCAGGGCCGTCCTAACAATAGATTATAGGACGTGTCCGCATCTATGATGTAGCAAGTCACTTTGAACTTGAGATCTCCAATTTGACACCTGAGTTTGATCTTGCCCAAAGTTCAGGTGTTGTTGGCGTTGAAGAAGCCGAAGATCATGGTCTGGGTAGAGTATAGCCGGTGTAGGAGAATCCCTAGGACTTGCATGACCCGGTATGGCATGATGCTGAGTGTAGAGCCCGGATCAACCTAGACACAGTAGATCTTAGAAGTTTCGATATACCCTGTGTAGTACAGTAGTCTGTCATGCTTGTGTTTGATTTGCATATCTTCTTGTGTGAATGAAATACATGGCAAACTTCTCGCAACTTGTAAGCATTATGCACAGGAAGGACCTTCAATAACTTCTGGGACTATAAGAACTTGTGTAATAAAGCTCTTTGTATCAATTAAAGCTTCAATCAGATCTTCCCTCATTGTCTTCGATAGTCGTAGGAGCTCGTACAGGGTGATCCTTGCAGGGATATTGGCTAATTGTGCCATGACATTAAAACGGAAAGGAGTGTTTGATCCTCTAGTCTCTTGTTGGAGAAGATTCTTGTTGAAGCGATTTCCTTTTGTTTCCCCTTGTCAATTGTCTTCTTAGGAGCAGAACTCCTAGCCTCTCGGGCCTGTTCTTCTGCTTCTTAAGTATTTTGATCATACTTTTTTAAGTACGTCTTCCTCGATTTAGTGCTCGGGTTGGCATCTTGATTAGCTGCAAGGAAAGTTCTCTCCTCTTCTGAATCCGTAAGAGGAATGAGATGATCATCATCTTCGTTCATAGAGGGGCTAATCACATAGGATGATTTAGCCTTGCCTCTCTTCTTCTTTGTTGATGCACTTGTCCACTGCCAATCATCAATCAGGTCGGGATGGACCCATATTATCTCTCCTTTTGGAGTGGTAAGGGGTACCAACCCTTTCTCTTTTTGACCATGAAGGTCAGTATTCTTTAGGTGCAACTCCCCTTTAGGGATGGGAATGACGCTGTCGGGTGCTGCCACTGGTGGGAAGTCTCCAAACTGGACTGATATCACATTAGTAGATACGGTCTTTTATTTTGGTTTTAACTTGAGTACATTAGCATCGACCAGGTGTTGTAGAATATCCTTGAAGATATAGCATATCCTCATTGGATGTCCTAGCATTCTGTGATACCGGCAATAGTTAGGGTCATCCACTTTTTTTGCTTCTTCGAGTTTCTTCACTCCAGGAAGTTTTAGCTTGTTGTTCTTCTGAAGTAGCTAGAATAGGCTGCCCACATATTCCTCTTTGCAAGAGTACTATTTGGGCGTTCTCTATTGATTTGATGCCTTGCCCTGCTTAGCAGGTGGCGCTCGAGTATTTGTATCAGTAGCCAATGTGTCTTTCCCTTTCGATCGGGGAGCATTGCCTTGATAGCGTTGCACCAGCTGCTTCAGTTTGTTAGCTTCTTCAGCTCAAACTCGGGCAACGATATCCTCTACTTGCTCTCTTTGGGAGACTAGCTGTTTCCAAAAGTGACATTCGGGTACCCCCATCTGAGCTAAGAGGTGGGTTTGCAAATTATGCCGGCATATTTCCACCATATTAGATTGTGTCATACCCAATGAACATCGTAGGACCATGCTTCAGAATCTTTTGATGAAGGCTTTGATGGACTCTCTCTTCCTCTGTTTAGTAGCTAGGAGAGAGGGGACAAAGACTTCTGTATCATCCTCGAAAAATCTAGCTAAGAAGAGCTTTTCTAGATCCATCCACTTGTGAATTGATCCAGCCGGAAGCTTCATGAACCATTCGAAAGCCACCCCCTTGAGGGTACCAATGAACAAGCGAGTCAATATAGCA